ACACAGGGGAACGATCACAGGGGAAAGATCGCTTTCATCTCGTTGTGACGGGGATCCAATGAAGGGATGTATCTGATGTCTGACACTTGTAATTGTTCAAACAGGTCAGCTCTCTTCCCCCCTTCTCTGAAAGGTTCAATGCTTTGTTGACCTCTCTTGCCAGCAAAGACTTGATCCCTCCATCTACCTGGAACCTTCCTCAGATACTGAGCTGGAGTGTTACAGGTAATGCTAGAGCCTGGCCTACAGGGTCACCCATGATGCTACAGAAGGTGGAAGCAGGGGCACCACCCCATGAATACTTCTCCCCGAACAAAGCAGAAAACCCCATGTGCCTCTTCAGAGAGGTGTGAGGCCACGCCTGTTGGCACTCACCCGGCCCACCGGTCCTCCACTCCCTTTCACCTTACCAGCTTCCGTATGCGGTCCAGAACCATGTCGATGCTCTCTTTGCCCACCGTGTAATGGCCCCGGGCATAGTTGTTAGCTGCATCTTCCTTGCCTGTGATCAGCTGCTCTGGATGGAAGAGCTGGCAATAGGTTCCTGCCCGAACCTCATCTGCCAGGACACAGGGAATCAGATCTTACGACCTGGTTTTCCAGGAGAGAAACCTCCCTCCCCCACTGGAAGAGCACAGGGGCCTCCATTTCCCCGTTTGCAAGCTTCCTCTGAGGTGAAAGCAGAGGACCATTGTGACAAGTCCGCAAAAGCCTAAGAAGTTCAAGGCCATTGCCGAGGCATGAACAAAGCCAGCAGGCAGTGACGGGACAGGCAGTGAGACGCCAAGGGCCCAGTCGGTTGTAACTTCAAAAAGGTTGCCAGGCTCACCAAAGTCCACTCCTGCCACTCTGACCCCTCAAAGGTTCCCTTTATTTTTATTTTTTTTCACATGTCTAACTTACCCTTGATACCAAATCATTGAAACCATGTTCACTTGGATAAGAAGATGCCAGGAGGAATGAGTGGGATTCAAGGTGATCTGCCTCGATCCTACCCTCCGCTCCCAGGGCCTGTCCCACCGATCACCTCCACCCTAAGGTGGCAATGACATGCTGGCATTAGCAATACTTTGGAGCGACTGAAGCAAATTGCACTCCAGGCTTCTAGGGGAATAGAAGCCCCAGAGAGGCGGCCAAGAGGCTTGGAGACACGTGTTGTAGACCCCAAATCCATCGCCTCCTCCCAGTCCCTGCATACCCCCAGGGAAGACACCCTGTACTTTTTGCATGGTGCACACTTTTTGCATGTGCACCAAGCATCCAGGGGGTAGAGGACTCTCTCTGGTCGGTCGCCCAGAAGCTAGAAGCTAGCGTTCTGATTACAAGCGAACTGTCCATCCCTTGCCTCGTGAGTCAGCCGTGGAGCTGAGGAAATCCTGACATTTTGCTGAAGGGGCCCGTCCAGCTGGCCAACCCCAGGGATGTGGCAGGGAATCGCATCACGAGAGGGGACAGGCAGAGCAGCCAGAAACCAGACCCAAGTCAGAATTCCCCTGCTCCAGAGGAGGTGCATTCTAAAACTACAGCAACACCTAGTGGTGAATGAATGCACCTGTTGATTCTTTCTGTGTGTGAAACTGACAATAAGATTATACCAGACCCGTGAAGACAGGCACCAATTATTTTAGTGCCAGAAACCAAAGCTTGGGATAAAATGACCATTTGTGGCAGGTGGCGGTGAGGGAGGGTGAGGTGCGGAGGGAGCGCTTCTTAAGGTTTCTAAAAGTGTTGTGTTTAGTAGTTAGGACCCATCTGGGCCATTTCTTCCTCTGAAGGTTTGGGGGCTTCACACTGAGGGTGTTTGTAGGCTAGAAGTATGATGGGGGAGCAGACATCCCTGATCCCGATCATGAACTTCCCAAGACTGTGGAGACCCCCAACATTCTGACAGAAAGCACAGGGCTCTAGTCCAACCACCCGCACCTGTCCCGTAGAGACCCGGCCGCCTGAGTTACACTGGACCAAAGCCTCTGCAGTCCCAGGCTGTGTTTCTCTGCCAGGGGGTGACCGGGACTCACCCACGACAGTCGGCTCCAGGTCCACCATGACGGCCCGGGGCACGTGTTTGCCATTGCCCGTCTCGCTGAAAAAAGTGGTGAAGGAGTCATCATCATTGACCTTGCTGGCCTGGGCACCGAAGGTGCCATCCGCCTGGATGCCGTGTTCCAGGCAGAAGAGCTCCCAGCAGGCATTGCCAATCTGAACTCCTGCTTGGCCCACGTGGACTGAAATGCATTCCCGCTGTGGGGAGAGAGCAGGGAGTCAAGGTCAGAGAGTTCTTGGACCCCGGCCAGGTCTGTCCCTACATCCCTCACATCGGAGGACTTGGTTCTCCTTGGCATTCGCCATCCAGGAAATCCACCCTCCTACCATGCATACTAAGTATGACTCATGGGCATGGTTGGGGTGAGGGCTACAAATGCTGTCTCCCACCCTCAGGAAGCAGGTGGTATCGAAGGTGCCAGCTGAGTGGACCCTGGCATCTGGACCGAGCCTTGGCTCTATGGGAGACGCGGTGGCTCTGTGGTTTGCTCTGAAGCTTGCATTCCAGGCTTGATCCTTCATCGCAGGAAAAGGAAACAGAGGGCAGTGACACAGCCGAGACAGGGGCTAATTTCAAACCCAGGACTCGGCCTGAGTAAGCTCAAAGGATGAGACCCTGACAATGGCAGCAACCACCCCTACGTTCCGGTGTCCTTTGCCTGCCTGTTTTTGAGTGCTACAGGCCATTTCCACTCAAAGTGGCCCAATCGAGCGGACGCGCACTGCCCAGCCAGGGTTTGCGGGGATGTCATCTCTATGGGAGCCGGTTTCTTGTCTTTCCCCCACGGAGTTATGATGTAGGTTCGAACGACCGCCCTTTCAGTGAGTGGCCGAACAATTGCACCACATGGCCTTGACCCCGGCTCACTTAGGCAGCAGTGACACCACACACACCAGTCTCTGAATGTCACTGAACTGCTGAACACTCAGGAAGAAATATGCTTTCAAACGAGGCAGACTGGGTAGGAAGGATCTACCCGGGGTTCTTCCTAACAGGAAATTTAAAAATCCCCCTTGCCTATGCCAGGCCGAAGGTGAAATAAAGCTGACCTGTGGAGTGGCCTTCTCTCTGTGTTACTCTGGTGGGAGGCCACAATGGGTCCCAGGACTAACAGGTTAGGATGGTGTGTTGTGTGTGTCTCTCAGTGTGGGGTATGTGTGCATGAACACTCACATAAGGATAGTAATTGTCCATGAAGCTTTGCTGGGAAGATGGGATCACCACCCTGCTCGCACCCCTACCTCTGGGGAAGCAGTGGCCATGGGCAAGGTGGCTGCATGCCTGTGGGGCCCGCCAGAGCCCAGGAGGGGAGCACGTAGTTGGTCTGTGGTTTCTATTCTCACCATGACCTGACCGGGCATTTTCCAGCTCCACATAAGCCAAACCAGGAGCGGAGCCTCCGCCCGCAGGCAAGGCTGGGCACTGAAGACCCCCACCCCACCCCCAGAGCATGGGCCTCCTGGAAACTTGGAGACTGTGGGCACGGTCCCAGAAGGCATCAGAGCCTATAGCTAGCTCCTTCATTCCGTTTCACACGGAAGCAACTATTCTGTCCCTGGCTTTGTGCTAGAGCTGAAAGATACACAGCCTGGGCCTTTGGGGAAAATAAAACCAAAACCAAACCAGTTGCTTTCAGGTCCGTACTGACTCATGGTAACCCGGTGGGTTTCAGAGTCGCACTGCATGCACAGGGTTTTCAAGAGCTGTCATGTTGACAGAAGTGGTCCTGGTAGCTCAAGGGGGATGCATTTGCTGTGGACAGAAAGGTGGGTAGTTTGGATCCATGAGCCATCGCAGGAGAAAAGGCCCCAGTGGTCTGCTCCCATAAAGATGACAGCCCTGTGGGGAAGTCTTACTTTGTCACACAAGGTCACTGTGAGTTCAAACGGACTCTGTGGCACACGGCAACTATCTTTACTCAAGCGCATAGCCAGGCCTTTCTTCCACAGTGCTGCTGGGTGGGTGGAGTCAAACTGCCAACTTTTTGGTGAGCAACCAAATGGACTCTCTACAGAACCTGGTGGCAGAGTGGATTGGGATTGTGAGTTGGGCTACCAGGCTCTCTGAGGGAGAAAGATGAAGTCTGCTCCCATCACGATTCTTCGCAACCTCAGAAGCCCTAAGAAGCCGCGCTACTCTGTCTTCAGGGTCTCAACCCCATGGCAGTGGGTTTGAGGTGGATTTTTTGGTGGTGCTGGTAGTGGTTATTGTTTTATGGCCAAGAAAGGACTTCCAATCCTGCCGTCTTGCCTAACGTGGTGTGTAGCCTTGGGTGAGTCACTTAGCCTCCGCGTTCAGGCGATCGAGTAGGCGCTAACCCATAGCGACCGTACGCACCACAGAACGAAGCACTGCCTGGTCCTGCGCCAGCGCACAAGTGCCCTCTGCCTGAGCCCATGGATGCAACCACTGTGTCCCCATCTCCTGAGGGCCTCCCCTTCTCACTGCCCCTCCACTATACAGTGTGGACGATGAAGTCTTTCCATCCTTGCCTCTAAGGAGCACTCTGGCTTTACTTCTTCCAAAACAGACGGACTCCTTTTAGCTGTCCGTGATACTTTCAGTACTGTATTCTTTTCTGGCAACACAATTCAGGTGCATTGATTCCTCTACAATCTGGCATTTTCCAGCTCCATATAAGCCAAACCAGGAGCGGAGCCTCCTTGTTTGATTACACTGATGGTCACTGCAGGAACAGTAAAGGCCACCATGGAAGGAGCCTCCTCCGTCGCAGCCTAAGACTCTGATCAGCACTGCCATCACTAGACAATATGACAGTGTTGCCATCACTAGATATTATACAATGGCCATCTTTCACATGCATATGAGGCAATGGAGAATACCATGGCTTGGGTCAGGCACATCTTAGTCCTCAAAGTAACATCCTTGCTCTTCGATACTCTAAAGAGGTTTGTGCAGCAGATTTATCTAATGCAGTATGGCTTCTAATCTCTTGAAGGCTGCTTCCGTGAGCATTGATTATGGAGCCAAGCCAGACAAAATCCTTGGCAACTCCCACCTTGTCTCCATTTCTCATGATGGTCCCCTACTGGTCCAGAGGTGAGAATTTGGGAGTGATCCATACTGAAGGTGTGGTCTTCATCGACAATGGCTTCAATTCCTGCTCCTTTCAGCTAGCAAGGCTGTGTCACCTACATGCCACAGGGTGTTCATCAGCCTTCCTCCAAGCCTGGTGCTGCGCTCTTCCTCATAGAACCAGCTTCTCTGAGGATTTGCCTGGCAGACAAATTGAACAAGTATGCTGACAGGATATAACCCTAAAGCACACTTTTCCTGATTTTAAACCCTTGTTCTGTTTGCACAATGGCCTCTTGATCCGTGTACAAGTTCCTCATGAGCACAATGGAGTTTCGCTTCTTCTCAGGGAGCTCCACCATTCTGTACGGTGCGCACAGTCAAATGCCTGGGGCGGGGGTGGGAGCATGATGACAAACTTGGGTTTGTCCCCAAACAGCCCATTTGATAAGAGAAAGCACCCCCCCCCATTTTTTTCTTTTTAATAGAGAATGTCAGCTAATAAATGTAGGAGAAATGATACAAGAAACCCATATTATAGTTTCTAATTCAGTCACGATTGGGGCAAGGATGCTAAAACTCTGAGCTGAAAGGCTGAATCCCCATGGCATCTAAGAACCGAGGTTGTTTGATCGCACTGGTGGTCACCGCAGGAAAAGTAAGGGCCACCATGGAAGGAGCAGAATCTGCTGCCGCGGCCTAAGATTCTGATCAGCGCTGCCCTCACTAGACATGAGCCGCTCAACACCAGGGCTGCGGACCTGATGCCGCACCCTGCACAGCAGCGCACACAAGGAGCTCTTGTCCAAAAGCATCAGCCTTCATCTCTTAAACCCTTTACTTCTGGCTTCCATTGTATAGAAAACATGAGGTTTAGAGGCATAAATTAAGTGGCATCATGTA